ACAACCAAGCTTTTGAATAATGGCTTTCAAAAAGGCATCAAAGTCCAAATTAGCAACATCCCAAAACAACGAAGTTATATTCTTGCCCGATCCACTGTAAACATACTTCCCTTCGTGATCTGTGGTCCACTTTCCACCATAAACAACATATAATATAACAACATCTGTACCCATCTGCAATCGAAAAAACATAAACAACAAAAAATATCACATTTAAGTGTATTCGAAATTCATCGAAAGAACGTCGAATAGTCGAGACCAATCGAAAAAACATAAACAACAAAAAATATCACATTTAAGTGTATTCGAAATTCATTGAAAGAACGTCGAATAGTTGAGACCAATCGAAATAACGTCGAATATTCGTAAACATCATAATGATATCCAAATATTCCCTAAATGTTCGTATGGTTTCGCAGACTATATTCGAATAGGGTTTATTTCGGAGTAGGGTTTATTTCTACCTTAGATATGTAGGGTTTACCATAATATATGTAGAATCATAACACAATTGGCTCAATTAGAATCATAACTCTTTAGTGTAAAGAAAAATTAGGGTTTGTAATCAAATTTTGGGGTATCGAAAATTAGGGTTTACCGTAATCTCTTTCTGCTCTTTTTCCTCCTTCTGCGCTACGCAATAGCGAAGAAGAAAGGATGTTTAGTAGAGCTACACAAAAAATCATAACTCTTTAGTGTAAAGAAAAATTAGGGTTTGTAATCAAATTTTGAGGTATCGAAAATTAGGGTTTACCGTAATCTCTTTCTGCTCTTTTTCCTCCTTCTGCGCTACGCAATAGCTTCTAAACGCGTTCCAAAATCTTATCGTTTTGCTTTGCTATCAAATTAGGTTGCCGATTTGCAGAACAAATGTGTAGTGTGCGTACGATTGAGGAGCTGAAAAGCATGAAATAGTTAATTTCGGGTCGGGTCAAAAAGGGGGGGAAATCGTTAAACGGCTGTGGGACGTAATTAGATTCTTTCGACAATAGCTTTCGAAGAATAGGGGTAATTTGGGAATCTCACATGCTAATTTTTCGTGCTTTTCAGTGAGGGTAGATAGAGGGTAGTCTCATAATATCAAACCTTTTTTGGGCATTTTTATAAGAGAAACCTTTTTTAGGGTACACTTATAAAGCGCCCGTGCTTTTCCTGTTTGCGACCACTGTACGCCTAGAATTTACTCCCTCCTTCCAAGAATAAAAAGTTAGCTTTTACTATGGGTCAAACTTTATTCACTTTGTTCGCCTATTTTTGTGTCTTATTTGATAAAATAGTATAGTCATGTGACCTCTAGTTTTGTAGATCTTTTCATGTAGTTTTTAAATATATAATTTTTATTTTTTAATTCCATACTATATATTATATAAAATGATTTGAAAATAATTTCAGTTAAACATCGTAACGCGCAATGAGAACTTTATTTGTGGACGGAGGGAGTATTATTTTTTACTCAAAATATTATTCTTATTTACTATTCACATAATTAAACTTAATCTCGTTTTTTATTTATTTTCTTTAGTTATTTGATAAAATCATATATTCTTGTTGGCTCTTTTTGTACACAATTTATATTATACATCCGGATGTATGAGAATAACCGTACAACCAGTATTTAATTTAGACGAAAGGAAGAAAACATATATCTACGACAGGGAACGGGAAAAAAGTGGCCATTTGTAGAAGGCGCTGGATTTCAATCGGCGAAAAAAGTGGCCATTTGTAGAAGGCGCTGGAATAGTTCCTATAGGCGATGAAGATTAGGGATGACAATTCTATCCGAATCTGACTTTTACTGACCCGACCGGAGCTTATTATATCTGAATCTGAACCGAAAAATTAAATATCTCAAACCGACCCGAAAAAATTAAACCGAACCCGACTTTTCCCAGGTTGGGTTTGGGTTAGTATATTTGACCGACGACTCGATCTGTATCCGAACCGACCCGACATGTACCTGACTTTCAATAAGTTTTTTAAAAACTCTAAATTCCTATATTCCATGTATTTTTATGCACATGTTTTTAATGTTTTAAAACTTATTGCATTTTTTGTGTTTCATTTTTTATTGTGGTTTAATATTGTGTGTCCGACATGTGCTATTTTCATTGTACTCCATATATTATTAATTGAAACTTAATATTGTTTGTTCCGCACGTGCAGGAAAACGGAGCGGTTGCGGATTTATAGCCTGACGTCGCCCCTAACAGGATCAGACAGCTGTCGTTTGATCTCTCTAGTTTCACCAAGTTCCATTTCTACCCTGAAAAGACATGTGCCCAAAACGCCTTCGTCCGCTCCTATTTTGCCTTCCTAGACCAGAAATCTGCAACCGCTCCCTCTTCCCGCGCATGCAAAACAAACAAGAGTACTTTGACATCTTCAAGGGTTATTCGGTCATAATTATTTTTGTACATATCTTAAATTTTATATCATCTTTAAAAATGTTAATTTCTAACGCATTTCAATCTTAAATTTTCATGAATACTCTAATTAGTATTCAAACCCGAAATTGACCGTAACTGACCTGACCGAATCTTAAACCGAATTCGAACCGAAAAAATAAATATCCGAAACCGACCCGCCAAAATCGAACCCGACCTAAGTTAGGTCGGGTTTCAATATACTCAAACCCGACCGAACCCGACCCGTTGTCATCCCTAATGAAGATACTGTAATTTAGATCTTGTGGGTCTTAAAAGAAGGCAAAGCTCTAATTTCTATTGCCTATGAATATGTTCTAATTCCAATATGGTCTTCAGGGTAGAAGAAAAAAAAATTTTAGTAGTATGTTGTTAAAGAATGAGTACTGGCCTATTTGAGAATGAGTACTACTAGCTGTTTGAATGAATATTACGTTATTTGTAAATCAATATTATAATTATATTAAATTAATTTGTGAAAATGAACACTATATTATTTCACAATGAATACTACATTGTTTTAGAATGAGTACTAGGTTATTTCAAAATAAATATTTATCTTTTGTGCAAGACTGAATACTACTTTACTTCAAAACGAGTATTACATGGTTGTACCTTACTTCTAGTACAACCAACTGTACCATATACCTACTTTTTGTAGAACTTTTGATTTAGTTTGTAAATATATAAATTTTATATTTCAATTTTACACTTCTAATCAAATAAATTGAATTGAAAATAAAGTCGATCAAATCCTATAAATGAAAACTAGAATTACATTTTAGGAATGAGGGAGTACAAAAAATATTGAAAATATACCAAAATAAGAGTTATATTCTTTAATTTTCGAAATAGAAGTTAAAAAGCATTTACATTACCAATCATGACCATATACATTACCAAAAAATATAATAAAATGCACATGTACATTACTAAACATGAAACTTATATTTTGTACTTTTCCAATGTTTTACTCTTATTTAGAGTGACTTTATTAAAAATTTTAGGCCACCTTTTGCATCGGTTATTATGAATAAGTGATGCATTTGATCAATTGCATCGATTGTTAATAATAACTAATATAGAAGTTAAAAGTATTTGAATCGATTATTACGTTCAACGGAGAGATAGAGAGACTTTGGTAACAAGAACTCATTGCACATTGAGGCATCACTTGAGCGGCTTGAGAAGAACTTCTTTATTAATTTAGTTTTAACATTTTTGGATAATTCTTTTAAAACTTCTTCGTCTCAAAGAGATTGTTGACACATTACACAAAATTAAACATTATCATAGAGTTTTAAATAGTCTTTAAAAATGTGACAACTAAATGATAGAGTTGTTGTCAAATGGACCCTAGGAGTGTTGGATTTGGACGTAAACGATTCAATATCTCTATCATTTTCTACCAGATTTAAGGAGTTCCATTTTTGCCCGGATACAATGGTGGGGTCCAATGGGTTTCTGAGGTTGGTGGTGCATATAAAGCGAATCTAAGCTTTGTGTTTGTTTTTTTAAACTTATTTTCATTGAATTTAATTTTCAACTACGAGTACTGTTTTTTCTATAACTTTTTGCACTTAAGTTAATATTTGACAAATAATGTCATTAAAAATATTTTCACAAGATCTACATAATGACACTAATATTGCATATATATTTCAACGTTATGTCTCATTTTTAATTTTTCTTCAAAACATTTTTCAATTGAACAAGTTATGCATTATTATTACATTTTTGGAACAAACACATTTAATTTGAAGTATTAAATTATGTAATCATGTTTTTTTCCTTATAGATTAATCTAATTTATGTTTGGTTCGCTTATAAATTAATATGCTTAATTTATTTTACACTATGTTTGGTGCAATGAATTTAGAAGTAAAATAAAAGAAAATGACCTTCTCTCATGTTTGTCACCAAAATGAGAAGAATTTGATTTTTCCTCATCTGAGTACATTTTGTTTTCTTATTTTCTTTTCCTTCTATTTTTCTTTTCTTTCTAACCAAACAAGAAAAATTATTGTCCGTCTCATTTTCTTTTTTTTCCCTTTCAATTTTCTTGAACCAAGCATATATAGTGTTAAGACTTAAGAGGCACTTTTGATATACTTTGCATCAATTTTTTCAACACCTATTTATTTAAAACTATATTTAGTTTATTATCAAACAATATAAAAATCAAACTAGGACGATAATTTTTGGAATGAAAGGAGTATAAATATTTTAAAATGATTGATACCACTCCATTTTAAAGTAGTATAACATGTTCTATACAAAAAATACATTGATAGTTTAGATAGGATTACTATCAAAAAAATGTATAACTAGCAACATATCAGTAAAATACCACAAAGAATCATATACATGCACAAACTTTACCCCTATTCAAGAATAGAGAGACTATTTACAAGAAACTCACAAAAGTATAGACAAAATAAGCATTGTAGTAAGAACAATGTAACATCAAAAGAAGTGTATTGTGACACAAGTCCATGGCCATGTTTGGTAAATGACGGTTCACCTAGCATTTGACATCTTTGACTATAAACGGTGGATTGGACTAGTCAAACCGCCAAATTAGTTGTTTGGATAATGGCTTTTGGAATTGGCATTTAGAACCGAACAACCAAAAATTGAAATGTCAACTCTAGCAGTATTTCATTTAGCAGTTCACCCCCTTTTCGTTTCCTACCCTTTTCTCGGTGTTGCGTCTCTCTACGATCCTCACAGCACCGGAATTGGTGTAGATTATTTTTATACATTTATGATATCATATTTAAAAAATTATAAAATAAAAAATATCATGCATGGTTGTTATTTGTAGAATGATAAATGAGAAAAATATTAAAAAAATTACTTATAAAATATAAATGTAAATTCTCATTTCTTAAATTAAAAAAAAAGAAGTAGCTTTTTTGTCCAACAAAAAAATATATGATATCATATTTAAAAAATTAAAATTGGTGTAGAGTATATTAAAAATATATGATATTATATTTAAAATTGGTGTAGAGTGTCTTTATATATTTATGATATCATATTTAAAAAATTTTAAAATAAAATATATCATGCATGGTTGTTATTTGTAGAATGATAAATGAGAAAAATACAAAAAATCTACTTATAAAATATAAATGTAAATTCTCATTTCTTAAATTAAAAAAAGGAAGTAGCCTTTTTTGTCCAACAAAAAAATATATGTCCAACCCTCATATTCTCTCTCTCTC